CACAACTTACAATCGTCAACCTGAGAAGGGTTGCAGGCGTACTGGTGTAAGTCCTGCAATCCTTCCAATGGATTCCATCAGGACATGATTCGCGAGTTTGTTTGTACTATTTGTATATATGTGTGGTGTGTCATATCAATTGGTGTTTTTGGATTCATTGTGTTTACTTGTTGTTTTCGTATCTTGTTGTTATTGCGTAATTTTGTTACAATTTTCGTCGTGATTACTTCTGAAGTTGTTTCGAGTCTTCTACATCCATGAATGAATTGATTGATGTTAAGGACAGCAGATGGGGCGTATACGCCGGGGAGGCTAGGCTATTGCTGAGAATGAAATGCACACGGAGATAATTGTTAGCTGCGGTCCGACACGCCGGGGAGAAAGAGTGTAAACGACTGAGGCTCGCATGCGTCACCGCTACTAGAACTGAGGCAGAATGAGTGACAAGCGATTTCAGTGATAATTGATAGTGAATAGAAAAGAGGATGGTTGAAGAGTATCATGAGTTGGTGCTATGGTCACGTTGCATTCTGCAAGAGTCATTCTAGCAAGTGGCGATTGTGTTGGAAGATGTCAAGAGGAGGTCTCTGTCTGGAGGCGCAGGTCGTCATTGATGTGTGAGATTGTGCTGTGAGTATGCTTGTGGTGTGTTGGCTTTTCTGTTTGTTTTCCATTTCAGCTCTGTCCGTGTGACCCAGGTTCTCGCAATGGCATCCAAGTCAACGTGCATTGGTCGTGAAGGAAAAAAGGGTTGGATCCCTTTTTTGCCGGGGAGTGTCAATGGAGTTGAAAATTGAACGATCAATTCTTGGTTGTTTGCCTAAAATCAACTTCCCCAATTTTCGCGGAGGCATCAATACGACAGTCATCGTCTCATCGGTCGCTGTTCAGAAAGAAGAGTAAAATATCGTCAGAAACGTTAGTTCGTTTATTCCTTATATATGTTGGTGTAACAATAAAGAAATAACAAGCAGCAGATCGGTGTTTTGGTTTTTGCGTCCGTTACAACTAAGCGTTTCTGAAACTCAAAGGAACAGCGTGGGCCCGAGCGTAGCGAGAGCTGGGCATTAACGGTTTATGATACGAGACTGACAATGATATATTCTCATTTTGTCCATGAGGGACGCCAGTTTACAGGCATCATCAATGTGATAAATTACATATACGATTAGTAATCATTCTTAATAATGTTCTATTAAAATACGTATTTTTTCCTACCTGTGTGGGACACACCAACTGTACAGGCACGGATAAGCTTTATTTAAATTTCACAAATTTGGTGTATGGTTAAACTATATGGTTGCTGACGTTTTTGTCTATGGTTTGTGGGAACAATATGATAACTAGTCACTCAGTGGAGCACATCAAAATATATACAAATATTGTCTTCGCATTAACAGAAAAACCCAAGTATGTTTTGGATGGATTACGAATACTTGGGAAAAATAAAGCTTGAAGTAATTCCCCAATATAACTTAGGTGCGTACAAAACCGAATCTTATTTTTGATTTATATCCCAATTGGGTAATAAGAAAGCTATTTTTACAGATACGATCAGTTATGTTATAAGTTACAATCGTGACGTTTTATTACAAATTAATACTTTTCCATTGGTATAAGAGTATATTCTACAACTGTAATCCAGGTTGCGTCGTGGGGGAAGGTAACACGTAATTCGCGAAGGAATTGTAAGATATGGGACCAATAATGTCTGCAGATCATTTGTCGTTGTAAATGGTCAAATATCCACATTGTTCATTCTCATTCAAAAAGTCAGATGAAAGCTAAAATGGTGAGACATAAACGAAGACAAACAACAGCAACACAAAAGAAAGCAAGAGGAGTCCTTGAGGAGTGATTAATAAATATATGCATATATATTCTGTTTAGTAACCATGATTATTTTCGTGCACTAACTAACTAGTCCCGTTATGCTAACTTTTATATTATGTGTGAATTAATAGTACTGTCCCGTAAAGAAATGTTTATTATCTAGTTCCAATAATATTAAAATTTATAATTGTAGCTTGTTGTAACTACACGTTTAATGAACTTAAAATATCTATGCAGGGTGAAAGAGAGGGTGTAAGAGTCAGATGCAGAAGTGCATTGTCATCTTTGAGCAGTCTGGTGGCTGAGGAGATGAACACTGGAAGTGTGTTTGCATCACGCACATTAGCTGACAGTCTATACCAAATGACTGAAAACTTATTTAGGAAGAAGTTGTACCGCACGTAAGCCTGACAATGCTCTATAGCATCTAGGTTGTGATGATTTCTAAGATTGTAACTGATGACAGTGGAAGGTTTAGTTATTGGCTCGGAGGAATGCAAGGGATTATTCAGCTTGTAGTAAAAGGTAAGGTTTAGCTTAAGACGTCTTTTCCAGAGTGGTCCTAATCTTAGTCTGTCGCATCGCTCCAGTATTCTAGACCACTTTCTGAACCAAGAGTTCTTGAGGTAAACTGCCGTTGCACTCCCTCTAATTTAAGCTTGTCATTTTGTCTGAGTCCTCTAAGAATAAACGGGCAGCATTCTAAGATAGGTCGGACACATACTTTGCATAATAAAACCCTAGTTTCACAACAGAAGAAATTGTGTGTTATGCATCCTGGGAGCCTTCGTGTTATACGTCTGGCATGATCAGTCTGTTCATCGAAAGTTAGGTTACTAGAGTATCTAATACTGAGATCTACGACTGAGTTGAGCTTAGCTAGTATTTGCCCATTTATTTCAAGGGTTAGATCAAGGTTACTGTTTCCGATACAAATCCAGCCGCATTTGTCAGTGTTAAAATTTAGGCAGGATTCAGCACACAATTCTTCAAGGATAGGAGATGAAATTAAATGTAGGGGTAGGCGAAACACCAGTGGATACGCATCATGAAAACTGTTTCCAGAGTGAGAAGAATGACACACGGTAACAGCGAGATGGGGTAACGTATATGCCATCCGAAATGCGGATAAAGAAAGTTAGGTGAACGTCAGCCAGCTCCAGAAATGGGTACAGCAAGACAAGCAAACGAAGACGGCAGCAACAAGAAGATCGAAAAGCCTTCGGTCTTCAGACGTGAAATTAGGGGTTACGATGTGTTTGACGCCTGCAGTTGAGTTCTTCGTATGTGGTGTCGACGGTGGTTATTCGTCAATGAGGACATATATTGTTGTAGTGAATGCAGATGTGGCGAGAGTAAATTGTACCATTTCTGCAGCTCATTACGAAGTAGACTTGGGGATAAACGAACTGGTTTTGAGGAGTCAGTGTTAATTCCATTGCTATCTGTTCTTTGATACTTTTTTTTATTATTTCCACTCGCTTTTGTACAACTTCCCCATTGTAAGTATTGTGAGATATACATCTGTTACTTCATATATATGAGTAGTTTTGTTCTCCACTGAGCTTTAACCCGCCTACTGTACTATTTTTGTGGGGACCTCAGAAATAATCTTATCCAATTTTTACTACTATGTGAGCAATGAACATATTGCATATTACTTTGTTTTAATCAGGATCTCCGTGCTTTGAACTTAACCTCGTGGTTTGGATGGAGTAGTTCTGCCTACAACTCTCGGTCTCCTCCATCATCTTGACTGCCATCGGACAACTCTAATCACCTATGTTCTATTTCAAAATTTTGGAGGGACACCGTGTTTCCTCCCTACGTTACCTTGGTCGACTTCTGGCAATAGTGATATTGGAGAATTAAGATTGGAGCAGTCTTCTCACAATACCTCTGGAGTCTACTACGTTAGTTGTGGAGTTGGACCTTGTAATAACTAAAGTAACCCATTTTGATATATTCTTCCACTAACTTAAGTGATTTTTTATCATCGCTATCGAATTCGGTTTGTTAAGTTAGCAGAGTCTAAGGTCCGCCATATTAATTGGAATTCTCTCAACATAAACTATTTCTAAAATATAAAGTAAATAATCCAATTACACAAATGTAACAACACAAGGGTAGTTGTCTTTCAAACAAAGGTGAAAACGTACAGAACAGTAATGACGTGTGGAACAGAAGAACTAGGAAATTACTATACATACATAGAGAAGACAGAATGCAACATTTGTCCATGAGTGGTGGGTGTTTGCATTAAATTAACCAATAATCATGAGAGACAAGTGAGATGATACTGATTGTTGAACTGTCACATGTGTCTGTTAACATTAACAACAAGGAACAGTATTATTGATTGATGTACTGTTATAAGGTGTCTGCCGTAATAAACAGTTTAATCTGCTGTTAATTGCGATAGACACCCTATAACAGTACATCAATCAATATTACCGTTCCTTGTTGTTAATGTTAACAGACACGTGTGACAGTTCGACAATCAGTATCATCTTACTTGTCTCTCATGATTATTATTGATAAGTGATAATCGTGATCGGAGACGCTCACCTAGAAAACGAGTAGATCCGTTTATAAGTGCCTTTGCTACCACTGTTAGTACTACTCCTGCTGTATTCTGTTGAGATGTCAATTTCACGAGGGACAATTCAATTCAATATGACTGTGTTTGTGTGAACTGTGTACGAATGCGATTGAATGTTGTTTTTAAGGGTCTCGAACGATTGGAATGTGTTTGATGCCTGCAGTTGAGTTCTTCGTATATGGTGTCGACGGTGGTTATTCGTCAATGAGGACATATATTGTTGTAGTGAATGCAGATGTGGCGAGAGTAAATTGTACCATTTCTGCAGCTCATTACGAAGTAGACTTGGGGATAAACGAACTGGTTTTGAGGAGTCAGTGTTAATTCAATCTCTATGTCTTCCTTGATATTTTTTTTTATTATTTTCATTTAGTTTTGTGCAACTTTCCCATTGTGAATATTGTGAGTTATTTATGTTTCCTCATATAGATGAGTAGTCTTGTTTTTCACCGACGTTTAACCCTACTACTGCATTAATACTCTACTTTGATGTACAGTAATTCCTTTGTTATAGTTAGACATTATCTGTTGTGTGTAGTTTTTTGTATACTCTTCTCTGTTGAATATTGTTTATTGGTGACACATCGCGCTCTGTGAAGCATTCGCAGTCTTTTTCGTGTATACATGGATGGCCATTGGCACGGACTTTTAGTTTTATTAACTGACGCATAGGGAATGTTCGTTTAACGGTTTCCAGCGACAGACACTTCACACTTAGAGGTTTGTATATTACATCTCATTATTTTATGCTTAATATATTATCGAATTGCGGATAGATCCTGTGTTATTGGATTTTCCTAATGGCTGAACATGCGGTTTAACTAATCTAGTCGATTTTCGCTTTGAGGTCCTGTGTAGAATGCGAAGGGAATTTTCCTTTGCGGTTTCTGGTAAATAGTAGAGACTAGCTGTGAGATTTCGATTCAAGGAATGATGGAATAAGTTGAGTGCGATTCCTGCGCAAATATATAATATCTTGCTCTATAGCTGTAATGACAGTTTGAATGTTGAGTTTAGGAAGTATAGTAAAGAAGCGAACAGTGAAGGGAATGGATAATTTGTTCATTGTCATTCTGAAAGGTCGATACTCAGGAGATGGTAATAACGACAGAAACTGGCGTCGAAGGTGACAAGAAAGGGACTTGCATAACTTTGTAACAGTAGTATGTATAAGGGATGTGTGCATCATAGGCAATACCTTGATAATTATGAAGAACATGAGGTTGAAACGCACTTAAATCAAAGAGCTTCAGTGAAATTATATTGCTTTAACTGGACGATCATCCAATGAAAAATCCGACAAAATAATGCTTTCCTCGAGATATCTTGTACTGATCACCTGCACTGCTCATCTGAGTCGAACACACAGATGTCCTTCATAATTGGTTGGCATTAGTGAACATAGACGAGTAACTAAGCGCTGACTGTCTGGTTGACCCTGAAGAGTATGAACTGCAGTATTGTTCAGTGTTCGCTTATGAATACTTCCAATGGGTAGTGTAATGTAGTGATTTTATTTGTTGATTTGCTAAGCAGGCTTTCGATCCCAAGTGAACAGTTGCCTATGCAGCCAGCGAGTCAGTGAACCGATTAGGTAAATTGAGTGAGTGTTGTGAAGCCAATAAACCTCTCCTGGGTTGGGTGGTACCGATTGTTGTAGGAAGAAAGCAAAGTGGAGAAGGTAGTGATTTAGGGGTGTATTGTAAAAAGTACTTTTAATGTAAATATGAAATTTTCAGCATGCATACAATATTGCATCCAATTTTCTCTGTACATAACGTGGGTAGTAATTAGGCGGGGCGTTTACATTGATAATATTGTCAAGCAAGAATTTAGATGAAGATATTGATAGCAGTATAATGAAAGGAAGAATATGGAGAGTCGTCTACCTAGTGTTTCTCAGTAAGTTGGTGGTAGTGTCATGCCTTAGACTTTTCTTGACACGAAATATGTGCCAAAGAAGGTGTTGTAGAGTTAGCGTGCCAATGTCGTCGGAGCACAACGTCTGTTTTAGTCGTTCCTGGTTCTAGCTGATAAGGTGCAAGGAGAGAGTGGTGTTTGTAGAGAAGATGCTCAGAGTCTGACAAGGTAGAATTTGCTAACTGCTTGCGTGAGTGAGTGATGAGTGCACTTGTCCATCCTACCTCGAACAATATAAATAAGTTGGTTTAGCGATACTCGCCGTGTTGACAGCTTTTAGTGCCGTTGGCAGTTCGACGCAGTCCTTCTTAAGTAGCTCAGGAAAGATTAAAGAGGAGCAATAAAACAGAATATGTAGAAAACAAGAATCGAAAAATCGTAACGACAAAGATTGAGTGATGCCAGATTGTCATAACTTATATATGCAGACCGTTAAACCAGATATCTCTCTGGAAACTGACGTGAGCAGGAAATATCAGGGGAAATGCACAATTCAAGGTTCCATGGATTGGAGACACCTGTGGACATCATTTGTATTAAAACAGGGCCAACAGTCATTTTCTTCACTTGTAAGATTTGAAATCATAACGTCTGCTGGACGATGCATGAAGGACTTATTAAGCGCGCACCAGCATCAACTGAAGAAGGGTGATTATCTATTTTATTTGCTTCCCACCGGTAACTTCCTTAAATAGCTCCCACATATTTGTTGAGGTTGTGCATGATAATGACTTTTAGTTGTAGATCATATGTAATCTCTGTATTTCTAGTTAAATTGAAATGTTCAGTCTATTGACACCAGTCCATATGACCTTATCCTCGGTGAGGTTTGTTGAGTAGGGAGGAGGAATGCGATCAAATCTTAGGGGAATCAGCCCTCTGGGGCAACAAACATTAAGACAGGATTTGAGATGACACGTCATGTTTGTGATTGTGCCATCTAGACCCTGTTCACCAAATAAGTCAGTTCAGTTTGTACCATTTAACGTGCTGTTTAGATTCTCTATCTTGTAGTGAGAGTAATACCTATTTTGTGTTCTCTTCTCAAGGTTCACGAAGGCCCTTATGCACAGCTTTCCATATATTTTAGGCCACATTCGTATGATACAATGATCCGAATTAAGTAGTGGGGCTCTTTCCCAAGCTTCATATTTCCCGGAGTCATTTGTGAAGACAAGAAGAAGAAGAGTATTTTCTAGTCGTGTTGAAAAGTTGAAAATGTTCTCATGAGCTAAATGGTGTACAGAAGCCGTATTCCAAGGGATTGAAATTCCCAGTGACTATTGACAAGGAGTTTCCAAGGGAGGTGGCAGCAAACGAAGTGAATTCATCAGCGAATAAAGATGGTTCCGACAGATTACATCCAGCTGCAATATGACTGTTAGGAATATAAATGTAGTTATACTTGGACAGGTGTTTCGGTCGACATTTGCCAGTGATTCAGTGGATTTTGTAACTTGAACATCTAAAACACACATTATTGGAAGTACACCACTGAGAATTGATGAAGGTTGTAACGCTACCGCTTCATTTCATCTCACAGCCACGCCGATCTCTCCACAATCTGGAATTATCGTCATATAGTTCATGTGGCCAGGTTTCTCGAAGAGTTATAGTCTGTGTATTGTGGTATGCGCTAGAGAACACGAGAGGTTGCAGACTGTTAGTTTTATTTGGCAGGGAGCGACAGTTTGTAGTCAATCTAAGGAGCAGTCATTTAGTGTATTGGGAATCGGATTCCAAGCTGTAACACCGTCAGTCAGAGTGATGTTTGTTCTTAGGTTCAGGGGAAATTCGCAAATCCGCGATTTTAAACATTCATGAGAGTGGAGAATGCGGTTAGAAGTCATATTTTCATTTCTCTTGTGGGTCTGGTCAGACAGGGGATTGCTAGCTAGCTAGCTAGCACAGTAACCAGTTATACACTGTAGTGTGCTGAGGAACTGTGGAAGAATCACAGCGATTTTCCCAGTTCTCTACCAGTTGGTTGAACAGAAACCAAGCAGAGTATTGTCTCATTGCACACAAGTACATTTATTGGTATGAATAGTTGTTCGTGTTCTGTGTAAATCAGGCGGATATTTACATTTCAGGATTTTCCAGTCGGTCTAACCATCAGAAGCTACTCTGGTGTTCTGGGCTACTCAGAAGTCGTCGTGTAAATAAGCACTCATCGAACTGGCAGTCAGTCTGTCAATCACATTAGCAAACAATAACGAAAACTAGGAACGCAAGAGATGTAGTGACACAAGTATAAAACTAGGGTACTGTGGGGACGTATAATTCCATGTTAGCTGATTTATTCGGCATAATTTATGGCGAGATGGTAATTTTTTCTGCAGGACGTTTTGAGCACAGTTTAGAACTTACACCAAATGCCAACACGTAATATAATTTTCTCTCGGTGAATGTCTTGCGATAGCTCAGTGCTTTCTGTTTGTCTGTCTGTCTGTTTTCGACATAGAAGTTTGCACCGATGTGCGACAGTTCAAGTCGCCTCACTCCGTGTAGCACACAAAGCAAGAGAAGAAAGTAGAAGAAATGCAGAATAGAGACAATACTCAGGGATATGAGAAAAATGAATAGTAATAACGAAGAACAATATAGTTTCATTGGGTATTTTAAGTCACAAGGAGTGGGTGCATCTGCGCCTGTCATTGCGAACGATTTTAAGCCTTATCACCAATTGTTACCAGCCATTGGTTTTTACCGTCCCGAGTACCCTAACCAGTCAGGAAGTCTACACCTTCCTACGTGGCTAGCTGGCTGGCTGGCTTAAACTAACTGTTGTGGATTTCACTGACTGGTGAGCCCATGTTTTGATTTCACCACCACTGGCTAACTCTTTTCCAACCTGATCCATCCTATGTCAGCTAGCATTGCCGATTATCGAGGAAGGCGATGACTAGAGATGCATGCGTAACACATGTCCTAACCATCTCAATCGGTGTAACTTCACAGCCTCGTCGACTGATTTCCCGTCCCATCTACCTAGAACTCGACTGATGTCTCACCTTTTTCAATATTGTCTATTATACCACATAGCACACATACGAGATAGAACGCAGTCATCTATGATCAAAGACAGCTAGCTAGTCTCTTCATGTCTTCCACTGTGAATGGCCAGGTCTCACAGTCAGCCACCCAGCCATAAAGGAGGACGGAGCGGACTGATGAGCAGTACACTCGCCCTTTGGTCGATAGCCAGCCGGATATCACGTCTACTAGGCCAGAGATTGTGTAAACTGGCATATCTGGAACTAGCCCTCTTTATCCGTACTCAGCTGAGATTTCGTCAGGGATCAAGCCGTTGGCACTGGCTGATGCAACTTTCCAAATAAGTGGAGCGGTCAACGTGCTCTACAACTTCACCGCCTATTTCTAAGCTAGGAATCAATGTAGTTCAGTCCCGTAACATCATCTTACATTTGGCGGGATGGAACTCCATGCCAAACATTCGTAGATTGCAGCTCAAGGTGTCCAGAGGACTCTGATCTATTTTGTCAGCGTCCTCACCTAGGAGGGAGGACTATATCATCTGCATAATCTAAGCCAACGAGTTTATTTCCTGGTAGCAAGTCAAGCCCTGAGTCACTGAAGTGAGTTAGGGTTAAGTCCATTGGTACATCTATGATGGAATTGAATAGAAATGGGGATAGTGGGCATCCCTGACGCACACCACTGGTCGTCACCGCTTCATATGACAACTCGCCGTAAGCCCTCACCTGGCTGATGGCATGAGTTTGAGTGGATCAATGTATTTTCTCGTATTCCCTTTACATCCAAGCATCGTCAGAGTACCTGTCGGACGAGAGAATCGAATTCCGCCTTTAGGTCAAGAAATATAACGATTGTTGGACCCCAACGGTAAGTATGCCTATGTTCCTGAATGTGTCGAAGGGTGAAGAGGTGATCAATACACCCCTTCCTGGTCTAACGCCTACCTGGTTCTCTCGTGTTTGTTTCCCCCGAGCACCACTTAGTCTACGCATTATTATTGAGCCTAGGACTTTAGATTCCATATTAGTCGAGCCAATCCCCTGTGATTATCACAGGAAGACTTGTCTCCCTTCTTGTATATGGGGATAATCAGTGACCTAAACCAACCTGACGGGAGTTCCTGTGATTCCCAGAAGCTGCCTAGTATCTTAGTTAACGCAGAGAGTAAACTGTCTCCATCGTACTTAAATACCTCTAGTGTCATTCGGTCAGGTCCTGCTGCTTTGCCTGGTTTCACACTAGTGACAGGCTTAGTAACCGCAGTTATGGACGGAGGACCTGTGTCTATGTCCCATTCAGGGAGGTGTTTGATGTTCGGTAATTTGAGTGTGGCTGTAGGCCAATTGAAGTGCTCCTCAAAGTGTTCTTCCCAGCGTTCCAGTCGTCTATCCTGGGAGCTAATTATGGTGC